ATGGGAAGATGAGTAAACATATTACACTACGGAAATGATAAACATGACTAAGGTGCAATAGGCAACCAACATATCAAAAGACATCTCGCTTATGTCCGACAACAAGGCCTAAACATGTTCACTAACATGTGAATAATTGCGTGGTCTCATAACCCATTATAGCATACACAAATAATACATTGAAACGAACAAAAGCATGAATAATACTAACTCTACCCGAGCATGCTATAACCTTGGCGTACATATATACGCTCGTCACCACGCATACACATCGCCCCCAACACACAAAGCACATATCACATAGCACATAAAACCATTTACAAGTAGTTTTCCTCAAGTCGAGGTCAACCAAGAAACTTGCCTCTTCCTGGAACAAGTTTAACAATCCAATACCACTTTTCCTTCAGAATTCACCTCCAACCGTCTCAAATCTAGCCATATGATACTCAATAATGTCAAATAAAGTCATAAAAACCAATTCCATGCAATAAACTTCAATCTTTAATCTATTCTAAAAAGTCAATAAAAGTCAACCCGAGCCCACATGGTCAAAACCCGAGTCTAGGACTAGATCCCGTTAACCCATAACCCCACTACAACAACAACAATAATAAAAAACCGAGTGTAATCCTACAAGTGGGGTCTGGGAGGTAGTGTATACGTAGACTTTACCCCTACTTTAAGAAAGTAGAGAGGTTATTTCCGGTAGACCCTCGGCCCAGGAAAGATAAAAGGAAGGAGCAACAACAAGCAAACCGATCAGAAAACCGAAGCGAAATAACAAAACTAACACTAAGTAATGCAATCAGAAAACCGGAGCAATAGAAACAACAAATAATAACAGAAATCTAAGAATAAAAAAATACAAGACTGACACTAAGTAATGCATTAAAGCTACTGGTGCAAGCAAGGATAACGCTCGACTACCTAACCCCCTCTACCTTAATTCTCAACCTCCACACCTTCCTATTCACAATCATGTCCTCAGTAAGCTGGAGCATCACGATGTCTTGCCTAATTACCTCTCCCCGATACTTCTTCGGCCTACTTCTACCTATTTTTAGGCCCTCCAAGACCAACCTCTCACACCTCCTCACTGGGGCATCCGTGCCTCTCATCTTCACATGCCCGAACCATATAAGTCTCGCTTCCCGCATCTTCTCCTCTATAGGGGCCACACCTACCTTATCCCGAATAGCTTCATTTCTAATTTTATCTAACCTGGTATGCTCGCACATCCATCTCAACATCGTCATTCTAGCCACCTTCATCATCTGACATGGGAGTTCTTGACTGGCAATACTCAGTCCCATACAACATAGTCGGTCTGACTACCGTTCTATAGAACTTACCTTTAAGTTTGGTGGCACATTTTTATCACACAAAATACCGGAAGCGAGCATCCATTTCATCTACCCGGCCCCAATACGATACGTGACATGCTCGTCAATCTGCCCATTCCCTTATATTAACTGACCCAAAGGTACTTGAAACTCTCTCCTAGGGAAGACTTGTGGATCAAGCCTCACGACTTCGTCCACTTCCTGAGTCGGACCACTGAACTTGCACTCTAAGTATTCTGTCTTGGTCCTGCTCAACTTGAAACCATTAGACTGCAGGGTTTGTCTCCAAACCTTTAACCTCTCATTAACACCGTCTTGCGTCTCGTCAATCAGTACAATGTCATATGCAAATAACATGCACCACGATACCTCTCCTTGAATGTGGCGCGTCAGTGCTTGGATCGCCAGGGCAAATAAAATGGGCTGACGGCTGACCCTTGGTGCAACCCTATCACAACTGGAAGTATTTCAAGTCCCCTCCTACTGCCCTCTTCCGAGTCTTAGCTCTATCATACATGCCCTTAATAGCCAAGAACACTTCTAGCCTCCAAACATCTCCATAGAACTTCCCTCGACACTTTATCGTAAGCCTTCTTTAAGTCGATAAAACCATATGTAAACCCCTCTTCCTCTCCCTATATTGCTCCAGTAATCTCCTAACAAGGTGAAAACCCATAACCCCACGAACCCAAATATGTGACTAGATTCCAAATTCGTAAAAATCGGTAATCAAAACCTCAAAATACACTCTCTTAAGTTGTAGACAAAAATCCCAAATTTCACTTTAAAATTCCATGTTCTTGGTGTAGAAATCCATGGGGAATCAAGATATACGATCAAAATCAAGTGAAAATTACTTACCCTTGAGAGTGTAGTGAAATCCCTCTTCAAAATCTCCAAAACTCAAAAATGGTAAAAAATGAGCGAAGTTCCGAAATTTGGACTTAAAAATACCCCTGCCAGCATTACTCTCGCGATCGCGGTCACAACCCACGCGATCACGATGCGCAAAAGTCCACCACCTGACCACCCTCCTATGCGATCGTGGACAGAGCCACGCAATTGCGAAGCTTCACCTGACACACCTACGTGATCGCATATGCAACCACACGATAACGAAGCACTAGCACTCACCCCTAGTCGTCAGACTTCTCTATGCGATCGCGAGAGACCCCACACGACCACGATGCTCACTCAGCCAACACTTTGCGATCACATGCCTCTTCTACACGATCGCAAAGAACAAATCCTCACCTGCCAAACTTCTTCTACACGAACACGACCTAATCCTCACGTTCGCAATGCACATATACACTAGTAAAACCAGCAATCTTAAACATGCTCCGGATGGTCCGAAACTCACCCGAGCCCTCCGAGACTCCATCCAAATATTCCAACAAGTTCATAAACACTAATCGAACATATCAAAGGCCTCAAAACACATATAGAATCATCTCCATCTAAGAATCGAATGCCAAACCACGCATTGAGCTCTCTTAAGTTCATAAGCTCCTATACTTCCAACCAAGCGTCCGATTCATACCTAGATACCTCGGATCTCCACCAAATTTTACATACAAGTTCCATTCAGCTACACAAATCTATCCATAGTCCCATGATACCAAT